ACGATTACCAGATAACAGTTTCATCTTTACAGCAGAAGCAAACGCCATTTTTACCGCACTAAAATATATCAAAAACCAACCTAAACATAAACAGTCCATTTTTTTCAAATTCTCTTTCATGCATTTAGGCAATAAAAATATGTCATATAAACATCCACTTGTAATCCAAATTCTTGAATTATTTAATGATCTTGCTGCTGGCTAATATGACATCGTCTTTTGTTCGATCCCCAGCCATGTTGGTATCATTGGTAACACAATGGCCCATGCTGCTGCAGAAGCAGCATTCAACAAATCAGTGACACCACTTCTCATCCCATACAGTGATTATAGGCCTGTTATCAGATGATACATCCGAGATCTGATGCAAAGGAAGTGGGACACCCAAGTAGGTATCAATATCAATAAATTACATGAAATTAAACCAAATATAGGTTACACCTACACCTTGTCAGTCCAGATTTGAAGAGGTCATTTTACGACGATGTCGTATTGGCCATAATAGATATACTCACGAGTATTTATTAAATGGTGAAGATCCTCCATTTTGTATCCCTTGTGATGAGAGAATCACGGTCAAGCATGTCCTGCTTGACGGTATTGATTTTGCCATCACAAGGGATAAATATTTCAAATCATCATCTCTCAAGGATTTTTTTAATAATATTAATTCTCATTTAATTTTTGCTTTTTTTAAAGCAAATAGAATTGTACAATAAATTTTGATAATATGTCTGCTATAATATGAATGACCTTTTAAAATTGGTAGAATGAATTATATCTGAGTTTGTTACTGGCTGAATCCTAAAAGGGGGTTGACGTAGTGTACAATTATTGAAAGGATATCGTAAGTCCATGTCATTCTCTTTTAAACGTAGATTTTTTTGTATTTTTACTTGTGACTAACTTTGCATACATCGCCAGTTGCTGAAAGGATGATGGAAATCGTGCTGGGGTCAATGCAGGTAGCAAAGGTACTGTAAGTCCCCATGGTCCCCAGTATGGTGGTCTACCTTCAGTTGCTGACGATCTATTGTCCGTTTTTATCTTGTATCGTTATGTAGAGTGCTATTTTTTTATGATTCGTACTAGTTTTATATCTTTTTCTGTGATAAATCAAGTTATTTTACTGTCCTTCGTTGACAGGTTTTTATATCAATTTCAATATGTATTATGTTTAACTATTGTTAGTCACGATATGGCTGAAATACTGCCGATGTGACTTAAAATTTTAACTCACTCACCACAAGCGGTGACATGTATGCGTTGTATAAAGCTATTCTTAATTAAATCAACAATGGCGCCAAAAATGGTACTTTTTGACAGAATGGCTGGTGGGATAACATATCACCAATATTTTCAACAGAAAAAAAGTTATGTGGAGTTTGAACGCTGCCAATTCATTATAAAAACGTGTCGGTACATTTTGAGATATCAAGTAGCTCGGTTGATAAAGCCGAAAGTACATTGCAGTTCATTTTACAATAACTGAAAAACGAAAATAGAACCAAAGTTATTTTTGCTGATAACACAATTTGTTCGAGGCAATAGTTTAAAAATATATATTGTTCACGTCGTCTATGTGTAAATAGTCATATTAATGATAGAAAGAGGATACAATGCTTATTAAGAGGATCTTATTTCATTTTGACTTTTTGTACAACAGAAATGTGCATTTAGACCCAAAGACAGTATCTGCCACCAAAATCCTTAACCACAACCACCATGTTCTAGTGCGTTGGATAAAAAAAAAACATTTTAAAAATCTCAGTTTGCGTTGTTTTACTATGGGGAGGGGTACTTCTGCAGTTTGGGGGTCTGGCCACTACTCTATCAGGGATAATCTGCCGCGACTGGTTCCATGGGGCGTAAATGGAAAAGAGATAAAAATTATATGGATGGATCCCTAAAAAGGAGTGATGACACCTGGTGTCAACGTAAAGGGTAAGCATGTCCTGCTCCATGAGAAGCATCATCCGACACTTAATGGAATTTTAGGTCCAAAAAGTAAGTGTTTTGATTGTTTTGTAACCCGTATTCAGCAATACTCCTGACATATGACGACCGGCTGTAAACAAGCGAGTCTATCACTTACTTACACATGTGTGAATATACTTTCGCTTTGTGTGAGTTTTATTGGAGTATTAACCTGCATAGAATGAGGGCTAAACTGTATGAACGAATGACCAAAGTTCTTGAAATTTATCAATATAAATTAAAAGTATTCATTGTGAGCCAAACACTTTTTTTCTGACAATTGTCCTGACTATTTTTCTTATCTTACATACATGCATGAATGCATGCATGCATAAATACATACATTGGTTTGTTCACAGATAACTAATTCTGGCGTTCTTCCCATCATACAACAGCCTGCCCATGAATAGGATACTTTGAATACTGCCACCATACAATGTATAGTGAGTGAGTGAGTTTGGTTTTACGCCGCTTTTAGCAATATTCCAGCAATATCACGGCTTGGGTCACGAGAAACGGGCTTCACACATTGTACCCATGTCGGGAATAGAACCCGGGTCTTCGGCGCGACGAGTGAACGCTTTAACCACTAGGCTACCCGACCGCCCTACAATGTATAGACATTTCACGGAAGATAGGACAGAGATACACTCTAATACCTGCAGATCTGGCATTGATTTGTAAACTGAGGGAGTTACTTTGGCTCTGAAAAGAGGCTTTCAGTAGTCATAGTCAGACTTGGAGGGCTGCAGCAACAAAACCCTTTCTATATCAGTAAGGAATCTCTGCCAAAAACAGAATCGATGTTACGATACCGACTATATCATGAGTATGTGTTTGTGATTCAGTATCAAACAGTGATAATACCATGTGTTCGCGACAATAGAAGCGTATCCCGTCCCACCGGTGGCACCCGTCACAAACACGTGCAAAGGCAAGTCAATTGGTCACCTGACAAAAAAAACCGAGTCATCTGGGCTTGACGATACATGGATAGAATCAGGATTATACAGTGAAACTACCACACAACAGTTGCTTGGAGGAACGGCATACAATTGGTCAGTCATAACCCACATGCTGTCGCATGAAGTGTATTGTCATAGCTGCTTGAATGGTTGGAAGACAATGGCGGAGAAATAACTCCAGAAATAGAAGATTGGACATCCACTTTCAGTAATTACTTGTACCAGGTTGCTGTAACCTTTTCGTGAGTTAACTAGGTTTCTATTATCGGATTTCAATACATTCATAATTAATAATTGCTTATTGTTTTAGAATGATCTTCTTTAAGGGTAAGGGGGCACGGGTGGCCCAGTCGTCTAAAGCTCCGCGATTCGCTGTGCAGAGTTGCGTACCGTGGGCACGCCAGAAACCTATGCTTGTGGGTTCGAATCCCGGTTTGCCCCGATTATGTTACTAGGTTTATAAGCACCATACCCGTGCTCGTGGGTTTCACCGAAGTGGTAAACGTCTAAGACCTGAATCACTTCACTTCGGGATTTCCTCCCACATTAAACTGACATGCCGTGATATGACTGGAATACTGTTCAAAGCGGCGTAAAACCCAACTCACTCACTCACTCAAAGCGGCGTTAAAAACAACTCACTCACTTTAAGGGTAAATGCTAGTTTAAGTAAAACCGACCTGTATAGATTAAACCGATAATTTAGTTACACTGGGTAGTCTACATGTTGTGCTAAAAGCTTTAGTTCGTCACGCCGAAGGCTCGTGTTCGATTTTTGAAGCCACTTTCTGGTGTCCCACGCCGTGGTATTGTTGAAACATTGCACATTTTACGGCCAGTCTTGATGGCTAGAGATCAATTCTGACCAGGAATCCCCACGTCTTTTGTCACCTTACGACTTGCAATGGGGTCCTGGGGACACTTTCAACCCCACGAAGGTCTCCATTGCGAACGGGTGAGTGAGTGAGTGTGAGTGTGATTTAACGGACCTTGGAACAGCGTTCCAGGTTTGTGACTTCATACCAATGGAGTGAAAGTCCAACATGGCCCAGATCATAGGCATTGTCGCTTACGTGCAACACACAAGCATAGGTATGACAAAGGTACACACAAGCATAGGTATGACATAGGTACACACAAGCATAGGTATGACATAGGTACACACAAGCATAGGTATGACATAGGTACACACAAGCATAGGTATGACATAGGTACACACAAGCATAGGTATGACAATAAAAGCGTTGAAACCATTTCTATAATCACCAGCAATCTCATTTGTAAAACTGCGACTATATCATGAGTTTGTTGGTTTGTTTTTTTGTTTAACGCCGTAGTCAGCAATTTTCAAGCTATATGACGGCGGTCTGAAAGTAATCGAATCTGGACAGACAGTCCTGTGATTGACACCACGAGCATATATCTACGCAATTGGGATACGATGACATGTATCAACCAAGTCAGCGATCCTGACCACCCGATCCCGTTAGACACCTCTTCCGACAAGCATGGGTTGCTGAAAACCAATCGTCACGGGTCTATATCATAATGATGTATTTATGAATAACTATTTATTAGTGCTGAAACAAATCATGGATTGGAAAAACCATTGGTAAAAAATTGTGAATCTTTCAAATCTCCCATATGGCCAGTTTCAAACATATGTCTTCTCCAAATAAATCTTCCATGGCATTTTCAAATGATATACTTAAACACAAACGTAACTGCGGTCCTGTTCTTATGATCCGGATGTGATGTCTAGAAGCATGGAAATATAAACGCATCTCTTTTTTATATCTTTATGCATTTTATAAATATTAAATTAGAAAATAATTTCAGATTCAGATCTGCCTCGTAAATGTTCTGTGTTTTTTTTTAATATAAAGCTATTCTGGAAGTGTCTGACTTTGTTTTTCATTCCGCACTGAAGGAGTACAACAAGTACAACAAGTTGAGAGGAAAAGAACATCTCAACATACAAGTTATTCCTTTCCGGCCATTGCCTTTAAATATATATATTTCTCTGAACAGGTGCAACGAACAGTTTTGTGTACTCACGACTTTCTGTAGTACATCGCTGTCTGGGGTGCAGCCACAGATGATGAAGCACAGGAGAATCTGGAGAAGCTGTACTCTCCATCTAGCCTCGAGCATCTCCCTGTTCCTTGGTGTCCTTCAAGATCCTGCCCAAACATACGAGCGCATGGTCTTCAAATATACTTAAGAAATTGTACGCGAAACATTGAAATATATATTCTTTTAAACGAATTCTTCCAAAGAAGTGATATTGCTATCCGATGTTTTATAGATCTGTGTTAGTATTAGGGCGTCCTTACTTAGTTTTGTGTTTCTCATCTTCCGCCGCATCATTTCCCTTCAGACGAAAAAAACAAAGTATTTTTTTAATCCTGAATTATTCGCTGTCCATTTGTATTTGTATGCCGCCTTTTGAAAATCGTATCAAGTTTCACAAATAAAACGTGTTTTGAAAACATATTAATAATAGTGTGCGTTCTTGAAGTGAACTTTTGAAAATTGGAATGAAAGCAGCTTTTGGCTAGTTGTATTTCTGTGTTATTAATGGGATTCGCTTCGGCTATACTTTACAGCGAGGGATTAAGTTGATGTGTGAGAAAGCCAGGTATGTCAATCAAACAGACGGGCCTCTCTTTTATTTGGCAAGTTCGGGGTTGGTACAAGCTTGGTCATTGAAGCAGACAAAACTACCACTTTTGAAAACCTCATGACTACGTCCTTCTGGGATTCTCTCAGCGATAAGAGAGTTAAAGTGACTTTGTTCCACAGAAAGCTTGATTGCAAGCAACACAGACTGTCCAAACTTCCTTTCATCACCCAATACGTCTGGTTCACTTGTCAAAAAGCCAATTTGGAACATTTACTGTGATTCCATGTGATCGTACGTATATTTGTCATGTCATACTTCATACAACTGTAAACGAAACCGATCCAAAACGTGCCAGGCTGTTAACACAATTAAACTTCTCAACAGAGCGTACTTCGATCTTCTGTCCTATTTCAAGAAGATTCAAGACATTCTGATTTTATCTATTTGTTGGCAGAAACCTCAATTTAATCAGTGCTTATAATATTAAATATTTCTGGAATTTACTTGACTTCTGGTAGCGGCACTAAATGCTACAAATTTGACTTCAGTTGTCCTATTCAGCTGTTAAGCTGTTTTGATACATATGTATGTTACACCCAATCTGTGCAACTGCCCTTTGCGTTCACAGGGCGGGCCGTTTGCCCAATGCACGCAATGTGCAAACAATTATCAGCTCATTGAATGCAATGTGCGATAGTTATGTATGAAATGTAATTCCCCACATATTGCATAATATGGGCAACCAGCATCCTCATTGTATCGCAAAGGACAGGTATTTGATCTGCCTGAAGAACGCAATTGAAATTGGTATTGTTTTACCTGTTTTGTTTTTGATAAAGTAAAGTATTGGACAATGATCGGCTATATCGACAAGTGTAAACTTCAGCTGATTGGCCGCTTATGTAACTGTAACAATTTTGCTAAACATCTTATTCTGGCATACATTGCAAATCCAACTACTCCTAAATCAGTATCTGGAGATTTATTATCACTTCTTAACAAGTACAACCTACGAAACAACCTTTGTACATATGTAAGCTGTGGTGTATTTCCTACAAAGAGACACTGGAAGCAACTGGTTAATAAATCCATTTATGAATATGAAGAAAAAATGTGCGCAGAAAAGTTTCTGTCAATACAGGTCTTTCACGCTTCATGCTAATACACACAAAGCTTACTCACCATATATTATGGCAACTAGCATATCTGTACCAAGAACAGAGGTCAAGTTTAAAAGTTTGTGTTAGAGTTTCATCACGAAACAAAACTTCCAGGGATTGTTTATTGTGTAACAAGCATGCTTTTGATTATGATAATCACATCATATTACATTGTGAAGCTCTACTGCAGGAAAGAAATGAACTGTTTTCAACTTTCATTTATCTGCTTGATGCTGAAACCTATGTCCAGTTGGAATTACAAGATGAAGAAGATATGTTGTCATTTTTCTTTTGCGCTGATACTCACTTCTCACAATGTATTGATATAGTTACACGGGAATCTGTTATACTGATATTTTCCGCTTATGTACTTACACTAAAGCCTTACCTTGATTATGTCATCTGATCTAACCTTTTGTACTGTGTGAATGGCATAACACTGGTGCTACTGTCTTGTATTGTATATACACAGGTAATATGAGATTGTGTGAATACGTTTGACTAATTATGTATAATCTTCGGATTAACTTCTGGAGGAAATAAAAAATCTCTCTCTCCCTCTCTCATCACCGATCAGTTCAGTCAGTTTACACAGAATTTGCAATTGGATTTGATACTTAATTGATAATGGTAGTTTCAACAAGCATCATCATATGTTTAAACAAATATATATCTGAATGCCGTGTAATATAAGACTGTGCTTCATTTAGGAGAGGATTTGTATTATAAAATACAAAGGTTAAGGAATGAGGGAGATCAGGTCCATTAGTCATTCATATTTTTTTTGTACATGACATTTTGGTAAGTAACTTCATGTCTGATTCGAACCTCAGTTTTATGCAGATTATGACTTGAAAAAGGTCAATGTGAAAATGTTTTTTTCCAATTTCAATAGGCCTGCTTTTTGTGGTGATGGCTGCTTTTTTATCGCCAGGGTCTTTCCTTTCAGATCCTTTTTACACAAAACGTTTATCTTTCGGTTTTCGGTTTCAATTTGCTTGATATACGATTCATAAGGGATTTTCAAATGTGAAAATAGTCTAAAATGAATCAGGATAGTTTTACACATACATATTTAAGCTTCTTTTGGGCCACCACCTTTGTAAGTGTATTGTGTGCGGGCAATGAGAGGTTTGACAAGTTGGTCTTTGAAGGTCATGCCTTAAATATCTTTTGTTCAATACCCTATTAATATTCAATGATTCCTAGATGTCGTTCCTATCGGATGTCCTTTATGGCTATGTCAGTTTACTTTAAAACGCTACAGGTACATACGTCCCAGGTGAAGGTCGGTTAATGGAGATTATGTATAAGAACGATAAAACATTTTAGAATTTAACTAATTGTAAAATGAAATTATTGTCTTTTTTGTTGTTTAGTGCCTCATTCGGGATATGAAGACTCCCTTTAAATAATCGCAATTCGCTTTGCCGAGTTACACACATTAGGCGTGTCATAAACCTTTGAGCGTGGGGTCGTATCCCAGAGTTACCAAAAATGCCAAAATGAATGTAACATATAACGTCAAGGCCAGAAAATAACCAGTCTCGATTATCCGCCGCAATCGATTCCATCAGGTGCAACGGGCAAATTGGGCCCCTCATGCTTATTCTCCCTGCTGTGTTTTATTGTACGATAAACAACTCCCACTCGTCTTTGTTTTCTTAAATTCACACATCACAGATGACACATAAATATTCACAGGAATAATTCTCAGGGATGAGGACATTCGCCGTGTAAATGCTACTATGAACACGTAAATCGCGTTTGATACTGTACTAATTAGATAGAGGAATATGCGTCGCAAATTACATAATTAGCTGTGTATATACACTAACTGGACATATAATTTAAAAGGAATTACCAGTCATAAGGCTTATAAGAAACAATAAGACAATAATTACATGCATACATAGAACATAAGAAGGATACTTTTTGCATCCTGCACAAAACAATATTATACATGGTAATATACGTATCGCGTTAGTATAATGTAGTGAATTAAATAATTGATTTCGTTTATGTATTTTATAATTAAAAATTTAACATATAGAATCAATACAAGTTGGTTGAAATCAGTCAGATTTGTAAAGGTAGGCTTTAACAACATACATATTTTAGAATGTGCCTATTTTAAATCTTCGTACAGGGAAAATGATATTTAAATAAGGTCATCCATCTCGAATAATTCTGTTTTAAACTGGTTAAAACATTGTGGACAAATTCTATCTGGAATATATGTTGTGGTTTGTTAAAACGTGCAGTTTCTATTTCAGTGGGTAAAGATCCACATCTAAACAAAGCTTAAATTCGACGGTGGTCCCTAACGTTCAAAGTTTAAACATACGATTCAACAACATTTTGCGTCTTAAATTACCTGTAAGTTCGAAGATTTCTGTCATTTACATTATTTCGGTCATTCCACCATTCTCTGTTCCATCTTTGATAATCAGATTTAGTTAGAATATCTCTGATATTTCCAATTTTTTTAATTCTTGTTTGGGGCGAGGTTCAAGTGTCATAAAGGTAATAATACACTGTCTGGCAAGTTTTACAAGTCCATTTCTCCACAAATTTATATAATTCTTTGACATGTTGACATTCTTTGAGATATTTTCTTGTTCAACCCGTGACGGGCATTAATATCTTCACTAAGCTTAATAGAGAGTCTAAAACTGTGTGTATGTTGTTTAGAAAACTAATAATATAAAACCCATATCGCTTTTCAGAAACTTTCCTTTGCCACAAGAAATCCCCATTGCACGATTCCGACGATTCCGATTATATCACAAGCTGTGTTCATGAAGCACTATCAAATAGTAATGATGCCAGGTGTTTGCGAAAAGGTGAGCATAATTATTCTTCCCTACCGGTGACAACCGTCACAAACACATGCAAAGGCAAGTCAATTCTTCACCTTAAAAACACGGGATCATCTGGTACAAGTACAAAATAGCTCTGTAAGTATGAGCAAGTCCCTGACCCAAGATGAATATTTATAATATATCTCTGTAATGCTGTAATCTGCATCTTCTATGACAATTACTTTTAGTCAAGGACTTGATTATGTTTAGCTTTTGGGTAAACGCCTCTCAAAACCTTTAATGATCTATATTGGCACATTTGCATATAGTGTTGTTATTAGGACTGAAATGAAATAAACAAAGTCAAGTTCCTATCTAATGAACATATCTAATACCTTTTACAGTAAACAACGTTTATAACGAACACGCTTATAACGAACTGGCCGATACAACGAACTTATTTTTTAGTCCCGGCCATTTAATGAATATATGCTGTATATATGCATATAACGAACTACGGTTATTACGAACTAAAATTAGTGGTCCCTTTGAGTTCGTTATAACCGTAGTTTACTGTATAACAATTTCTATTA